TGTGGAAACAAGTTCTGACAAAAGTGGGGTGAGTTTAGCCAGCTCTTCTTCTCCTTTGCTTGCATAGTTAAAATGTGCATATTGACAAAAATCCCTCCAGGATTTGTTCCTCGCGTTATGTAAACAAATGGCTGCGATTCTGTGAAATATGGGAACCCTTGAGATATACAGTAGAGGTGGTCTTGACTTACAACCATTTGTTTAGTGAGCATTCAATGTTACAACACCAATGACTTCTGATCATTTTTCACATGCATGACTGTTGCAGCCTCCCCATGGTCACATGATTAAAATTCAGACGCTTGGCAACTGGCATGTATTTATGTCAGTTGCAGTGTCCCAGGGTCATGTGATCACCTTTTGCTACTTTCTGACAAGCAAAGCCAATGGGGAAGCCAGATTCATTTAACAACCATGTTACTAACTTAACAACTGCAATGATTCACTTAACAACTATGGCAAGAAAGGTCATAAAATGGGACAACACTCATTTAACAACTGTCTTGCTTAGCAATGCAAATTTTGGGCTCAGTTGTGACCATAAATTGAGGATTACCTGCATAGATTAAATTTTAACTGTAAATCTAGGTTTTTTTTTCTTTTTTGGCCATGCCTTGTTCCCTATGAAATAATTAGTTTTATTCAGGGAGGCGTATTTCATTTTAGAGGGTTATGGCATCATAACATTTGAGATTCTCTGAATTATTCATTTTTAAACTATTCTTCATCCTTTTAGGAAATTGGGAGTTCTCTGTATTGTCTGCTCTTCATGCTTCTGTTTCTTTCAGATTTCAATTCAAACCACAAGTAGTTTTCAATTTACAGTTTTAATACAGATGCTGCCACAAATCTAACATGTAAATTAATGCCAAACCAAACTTCCTGGGTGGCAAATTCTTTGGGAAATAAAAAAAATAGTATAATCCCATGACTATTTCCATTTTATATGTTCAAATTATAGAGATTGGACATACTGCTTTACTGTATTTGGAGGCTGCAAAATCATAACTGACATTTTCTTAGATGCTGATAACAACATATAATTGCTTAATATCAGACTGTATTTAGAACTGGGTAAATCATCAAGCTTGTGGTATTATTTGTGGCAGTTGCCACTGTTTAGAGTCTGGTGCTTGGTGGTCTTCTTTAAAACTCCCTTTTCTTTACTGACCAAGTAACAATTTCATGTGAACTCCAATAATGACTGATAATACCTAAATGAAATTCACTTTGATTTGCTTTTAGCTTAGAGTAGACAGAGTACATTGTACTGTTTCTGGCCAATGATTGTATAGTTTCTATTTCAAATGTAATACAGGCAGTCCTTGATTTACCACAACTGACACTGAAACCTCTGTCATACGCTGTTGGGGTTGAAAACCAAGCTGGACCTGATTTTACAATTTTTATAATGATTGTGAAGGACTGTTAAGCAAATCATGTTTGTTAAGTGAATCATATAGTCATTAAGTGAATCCAGATTCCCCAATGGGTGTTTTTTGCAGGAAATTGACAAAAAGGATTGAAAATTGTGACCACATGACCGCAGGATACTTCAACTAGTCATAAATGTGAGCTGTTACCAAATGTCCAAATATTGAGATCACATGACTATGGGAATGGTACAACAGCAATGTGTGTACAGGTAAAATCACTATTTCTAAGGCCATTCTAACTTTGAATCGAATACCTGTCCTACAGAACACCATTGATTTCATTTGTTAATTCAAAATTGTATTGTCACAGATTGGAGCCAAACAGTATAGACCTGCAGCCAATTTAATGTTTGGTTAGCACATATATGTGATCTTAGATTTCATTTATTTATTTATTTATTTTATTCATTGCCCCTCTTGCTGTCATGAGACTTTAGGATGGTAATTACTGGAGTTGACTTAATTTAATCCTCAGGCAACATTCAAGCCACTCTGCTTCCTGAACTACCTTTAAAAATAATAATACAATCCTGCAGTTCAGAATTTTAGTCATACTATTCTATTCCCATCAATTTACCCAGTTTGACCTCCGCTTATTTTTCATTTTTCTCTAACAGGCACCCCATCTATCTCTCTTTCAAATACACCCATGCCTCTGTTTTTCTAATTTTTGTTCAATGCTTTCCCCAAGGCTACTCATAACTCCTGTTTATGACGCCACTTTTGCTACATAAATGTTGTTACTCAAGCAAGAACACTAAAAATGCAGAGAAAGAGGATGGGCAAAGTGGTGTCTGTACATAAGAACAACTGGATTTGGGTGGTTTGTCCATGAAGTAAAAAACATGCAAGTTTGATCTGGACACAGAGTAATCTGAAGCTTTTGTCTTCCAAAAAATGGACTGGTATGCAGGTATTCCAGGAAGAAGTAAGTTGAAAGCTGGGGTGTTTCCTTGATAATACCAGGAGTAACATGTTAATAATTTTGGAAAAGGCAATAATTAGATTACACCTTTTCATTAGCATTGAGACATAGGTATCTTGATTTAAACAAACAAGCAAAAAATATTTTAACCAGTAATTGTATTTTTCTGATCCACGATTAATGTAAAGCAAGGGTGGAGAATCTGCAGCCCTAAGGCTTTAAGGGACCCTCAGAATGATTTCACAGCTGCTCAATTCGAATCTCAGTTAAGAATGAATGTCCCAGCCTTATTCCTTTTCTGTCTGGCTGCAGGATTGGGAGGAAGGAAGAGATAAAGGGGTGGATTACAGTAACTAAGAAAGAAAAGCAGATCTTTTTCTGCCAAAAAGAGACAGAATAGATCCTGCCTCATTGGATCTAATATGTCCCATTGCTCTAATCCTGTAGATGACCAGGCTGACCCTGGAGGAGGGGTCAAACGCATCATAAGTCATGAGTCCCTGTGCACCCGCAAGAAATCTAAGTCCAGCCCACCTTGAATGCCTCTTTTCTCTTGCTCATTTCCCTTGACCGCCAACTGATCAGATTCTTGCAGAGAGCTGAAGCTTGCAATAAATCTTTATACTCATCTGAACTGCCAATTTCCTGATTTTCCCAGCTCTTAACAATTCCACCATCAACATCTGCCCCCTGCACAAGGCAAGCAGCTCCTAAGAATGTAGCCCTTGACAGGAGGGGAAAAAGTTATTTTCCCAAGAAATTGTTATTCTTTCTATAAAGCACATTTATACAGCAATATTTTTGCAAATACAAACTTTAATTCTGTACTCTACAAAAAGTCTTGCGTATTCTTTTTACAAAAAAGGAGAAAGAAACATTACAAAAATACAGACAATTTAATACAATTTTATATAATTGTCTTTAGTTGTTATTTTCATTAAAATATTGCTACCAAAGAACTACAATATTTTAATCGACTATATAAAAAAAATTAAAACCAATGCTTTCCTTTTAAGCAGCAACATGTAAATAAACACAGGTCAAAACACAGTTTATGATCATAGTGGATATATCTAACATTGTTTGGAAATAATATTTTACATAGTTAATTTGTAATGTTTTATACATTATTTATATAATATTTATATATTTATATATATTTATATATATAAAAACATAGCTTGCTAGAATTGAAATGATAGGACGGATTTTGCATGGCAAAGATGTGCAAAGGCCGGTCTGCTTAGTTAGCCTGCTCAGTCTTTCTTAAAACAAAATTTAAACACCTGTCTTTCCGAATTTCCTCTCAAAGGCTAGAAATTAGTACTGCTATCTCTCATTGCCTGCCCTTGGTTTTCTTGAGAGCTGCACCCCAACCTGGTGCCCTCAATGCATATTTTACAACTCCCTCCATTTCATCCAGCTCTGTCAATCATAATGGGAATTGTGATCCAGCTCACCCTAAGAGCAATACAATGGAGGAAATGCGTATAATGAATAGCTACAAATCTCCAGTTTTCTTCAGGGCATGGGAAATTCAAGAAGAGCTTTAACTGAATATCAGGATAAGACGGCTCTGCCCAGCAGTCCGTCACCCGCTTGGAGGATTAGTGTTCTGAGTTTCAACCCCAGACCTCATAGTGCTAATGTACATCAACAAGACTGTCCACACAAAATATTTTTTTATGAGCAGGGACTGTTCAAAATACAGTTCCACCATTAGTGGTAGTGGATGGAAGATTTATTGGGCCATTGGGTAAATGTGGGCCAGAGATACCAAACAGGATTATGGAAAATACCTATTAAAAATTTCAGAATTCTGGATATCTTAAATGTCCTATAGTTTAATTAATCCTATCTATTGTCCAATATTTAGAGATGTATCACTTGCAAGAGCAAATACTGAATGAATCTTACAATCAGGGGAGTCAGCTGGGTTCTGTTTACCAAGTCAATTTGTTTATGTCTTAGCAGATAGAAAGTGGTATTATTGTTCAGGGGAATGTACAATAGGAAAAAAAATATTTTCTAATATTTTACAGGGCATGCTTCATCTAAACCAAAGTAAATCACAGTATGGAATGGAAAGAACCCAAAATATATAGATATATATAAGAGATTATCCTTAAAAAGTGACCACAATCGATGTCAGTGCTTATTTCTTGTACATAGTGCTATAATTTAGTTAGTGAGGGTTTGTCTCTCTACATCCCTGTCCCATTTTCCTAACAGAAAATCACAAATCTTCATAGGAAGGAAGGAAGGAAGGAAGGAAGGAAGGAAGGATGGAAAAGCAAAGAAAACAGAGATGGCCAGTTTCCTAACAATTATTTAGTGTTCATTACAGTATGAACAATTTAGCATTCACTACAACATGAACACTCAGCCAATTGCACATTTAGAAATTCCTGCATGTGTTGACTTGTTTTGTGATTGTTGCCTCCGACTTGGCTGAACAACATCCATTTTATGCAAATGTTGTAAAGAGTAAAAAGGCCACAGAGTAAGACCTTGCGGTCAGGCAAAAGTCTCTCCCTACATTCTACTGTCAGATGAGATTGAGAGCAGCAGGTAGTTGCTGTCAGCAGTCATTTTGCAAAAAATAAAATAAAAAATAATAATAAAAAGACATCAAATGTCTACACCATGTTGTGATGGTTGTTCCTGTCAATGATGTCCACAGGTGATAATATCTCCCTCCGGATGGGAGGAGGCTGCAACACCTTGGTTTTCTGCTTGAAGAGGTCCGAGACATAAAATACCTGTCAATAAAAATAAATATATTTTAAATGAGGTTTTACAAGTTTTACTCCTACTGCATTTGGCTTTAGTTAAGTCTCTCATTGCTAAAGTGATGATACTGCAAAAAAAAATAAAAAATCCACAGCCTGGTACATTCCAGTTGTGCGAAGTGAACCTTGTTAGAAGAGGCTAAAATAGCTGTTCAGAAGACAACAGTCCCCAGTTACGTCGGAGAACTGAATTCGTGTAACAGAGAACAAGCAAGACACCTACACACAAAAATACACAGAAAATACATTCTGGCAACTAAATTCAACATTGCTCCCTTATTTATGAGAATATCCTTTTTCATTCTTGATTTTTATTTTTATTTTATCGGATTAGCCTTTTTTCAGAATATAATTTACTATTCTACTTTGCTGTATTGAAATACCTAGGCAGAGAATGTACTAAAGTAAGGAATTGGGGGGGGGAAAGGGTTTGGTAATGTCAAAGTAGTCCAATTTCAGCTTTAATTTTCTAAATCATCACACAAAATCATGCCGGTCGCACTCCTTCTGGTAATCCAAACTGCTATTAATAAATTTTCCTTAAGAGTCAGTTCTCTGCAATTATTAGTCAGGGACTAGTCTGATGTTTCTCCACTTTCCTCTCCCCTCTCCTTCCTCTTCTTCATCGTCTTTTCCTCTCCATTAATATATTAACATTTACTCAGGATGACTGTTCAGTATTTATGGGACAGCATTAAGAGAGATTCCCAGCTACTTTTCCCTGAAATAGCCAATGAGGTAAGCACTGTTACGGATGTGAAAAAGTCTTCGTTTAGCTATTCACAGAGGCAGCCACACAATGAAAAATCCCAGAGAGGAAACTTTAACATCCTCCTCAAATATAGCAGTTGAACATCTTATCAGGCGAACATAATGGGCGTGCTTTTTCTCTTGCAAAATATTATTTTGAGGCCAGAAAGGAAGAGATCCAGACAGCGCCTGGTTCTGTGAACGGCAGAATGCAGTTAATCTCTCTTATACAGTAATATTCCAGTTATCAAAAACCTCGTCATATGGATGCACGTGTGTACTTATTTATACACTTCTGCTGAAAATAGACCTTTTTCTACTTTCTAATTTGTGGGAGAATTAGACTGATATTGCTCATCAAATACTGTGAGGTTAATAAAGGATCAGAAGCTATAATCAGAGAAATGACGATGACTTATACGATACATATTAAAACATGGCATACAAGATTGACTGAAGTATAATAAGACAGGAAGAGTCAGTTTTGTTCAGATTATATAACTTCTTTCAGGACTAGGTCCAAGCTCTGCCATCCTCAGTATGCCAGCAAAATATCATTTAATGCCTTCCCAGAGTGAGAAGTCACCAAGCACATTACAGATTTAAGAAATGATTCATTTTATGGGATACAAATGTTAAATTGAGACTTCTAATGGTCTTATAATATTTCTGCAACTAAATATTGCACTGAAGCATAGTTACTTCACTGAGGAATTAAACTTTGTTGTGAAAAAGAGGTAATACAAGCAAAAATTATAGTTAGATTGTAAGATCGTTTGGGGTTCTTTCTTCCTCATTGTCACCCTAAAACTCATTTGTTTGAAATTAAGTCAAATTGGCCTTCCAGAACCTTTTCCCTTTGGCTTTTAAGAAATGTTTTTTTCACAATATTCTAAATGCTACTAAAGATAGCATAGGAGTTTACTCACTGGCAGAGAAACCCTGAAAGAAAAAGGTCTGTGAACAACTCATAGTTACTCACAAAAGTTAGCTCTGACTAAATTCTATTGAAATCAAAGCACTTACATAATCATGACCACACCTGCCTACTTACTTTCATTAGCCTGTATGCTGTATGTATACAGTATTTATATATCCTGCCATTCATTCACGTTGCTTGTGCTAGAGAACTCTGCTAGATCTGCACTCTGTTTCTTCCTAAAGCGGTTAGAGCAGGGGTGTCAAACTGCTGGCCCACAGGCCGGATGCGTCATGGCGAAACCGCGTCCACCCCATTGCTGGCGATGGAAAAAAATCGTGATATGTCACAATACATCACGTAATGTGGCGAGTTTGACACCACTGGATTAGAGCATGAATTGAAGTTGGTGTAAGCAAATATTCAAAGAGTAAGCAACTCTCACTTATTGGTAACTTCTAAAGAGAACCTTGGTAATAATGCTCTTTATTGTCCTATTTACTTCTTTTGCTGTTGGCATATTTTATTTTCTCTAGATTTGTAATTGGAAAGGGTAAATTTCATTCAAATTATAACACAACTGTACTTTATGTATGTACTGTATGTACACAACTGAAAAAGCCCTGGTGGGGAAGTGGCTAGAATGCAGTATTGTAGCAAACTTTGCCCACATCCTGACAGAGCTCAAAGTTAATTCAGCTTTCCATCTTTCCAAAGTCAGTAAAATGAAAATTCAGGTTGTTGGGGGCAATATGCTAACACTGTAAACCGCCCAGAGAGTCTGTAAAGCAATATGGAGTAGCATATAAGTCTAAGTACTATTGCAATTTATATTCCAGATCAAATGCTCCTGTAGCTTTTTTGCAGTAAACAGCTGAAGGCCTGCCAAGACTTCAGTCTATGTCAGGTATATCCACATTATATATTGAAAACTCCATGGCAGATCAATCTGTGGCAGGAGGAATGGTGATAATGCAATGTAAATGACCAAAGGAGAGATTAGATTCTATTTGTTCCAAATTTTATAAATAAGTAAATGATGGATGGGGTATCATCCTGGCTTCCTTAGCCTTTGTTCTGCAGTTCATGGTTTGTGTGGCTTTAAATTAGATTCTGGGTAGCAATAGCATTAATTCTTTTTTAAACTGTATTTTGCGCTTTAGTGAAGACTTGAGGTTATACAGACCCATACAGAAACCATAAAACATGACCTTCCAAGGTTAGAAAAGTTCATGCTTTGTTATGCGGAACGCAAAAAACATAAGATAAATCCACAAGGTACTTTCGATTGGACTTCCATTTCTTGTGGAAGGTGCTCTTCACCATAAACATTTGCTGTACAAAGTCATTTGAAATAAGTAGATATTTCAAAAACTTGTATTGGGTCAAGAATACTTAAGACAATACCTGAAAATAGCCTAAGATGGCCAGAAGCCTGACCGTCCCTCATTTTGTAACTACATGAGTAATACCGTCTGCTAAAACTGAATGTAAAATGTATTTTGATTTTAGCAATTCTCAGCATATTTATGTTACAGAGAATTCAAGTATGTTTCAGCTGCTGAAATACAAATATTATATTGTTTTTGTTTTTCAGTTGGGAAATTAATCAATCAATTCCACCTAATACTAGAGTGTTTGAATACCAATGAGACAAATTCAAATGCTAGGACATCACAACTTTCTTGCGGAAAAACATTATACAACAAATAATAAATCACTAGACCCGTATCCTATTTATTGGCTTAGCAATAGGTGCATAGAGACTGATTTTCATGTGATTGACTGATGGATGGATGGATGGACTGATTACATGCCATCATTGTTTTTAATTCTTACCTACCACATAGATAGATTTTCTCCATAACAGTCTGTCCCTGACCTGTTCTTTCAGGTTTCCCAACAGTGTACTCATTGCCAATGTAATTGTATCTATCCTCCTTGCTGCTGGCTATCATTTTCTTTTTCCTTTCATTTTTCCTACTATTAAAGCCTTATAAATGATAAAATCAGACCTTTGATTTTTTCAGTGAAAAGAAACTATTGTCTCATAGCTCCTGCTGTTAAAATGGTTCACAAGCCAAGAGTTTACCACCAAGCTGTTTATATCAGGATTCTTGACTTGTTCTTCCAAAACATGCTAGAAATCCAAAGTGGAAAGAATCTATTTATTTTTTACTTTAGAAGATAACTCAAATAATTCAGTCTGGATGTAATTTTAGTTTTTGCTGTTTGGGGAGGGGGTTAGTTTATTTATTATTTTATTAATTTATTTATTATTTATTAATTTAATTTGTACCCCGCCCTTCTCCTCATGGGACTCAGGGCGGCTAACAGCCTCATAAAAACCACAATACAAATACAATGATATCTATATTAAAAACCGAATTAAAAGGAAATATTTAAGAAGGCCGATCATTAAAATTATCCTTAAAATACCCTTAAAAAACCCCGCTAAAAATCCCTAGGCCAGAC